TTTTCCGGTACGCGGGCCTCTCACTGCTGTGGCCTCTCCCGCTGCGGAGCACAGGCTCCGGACGCGCAGGCCCAGCGGCCACGGCTCACGGGCCCAGCCGCTCCGCGGCACGCGGGATCCTCCCGGACCGGGGCACGAACCCGTGTCCCCTGCATCGGCAGGCGGACTCCCAACCACTGCGCCACCAGGGAAGCCCGAGCAGCTGCATTTTTTTAACCTTCTCGTCTTCAGCTTTGAGTGCAGGAGATAATGCAGAAAACTGCCCTTTTTTTAATTAAAAAGAAATTTTTTTACACTTTTTTTTATTGGAGTACAGTTGATTTACAATATTGTGCTAATCTCTGCTGTACAGCAGAGTGACTCAGTTATACACATACATACATTCTTTTTTCATATTCTTTTCCATTATGGTTTATCCCAGGAGATTGGATGTAGTTCCCTGTGCTGTACAGTAGGAGCTTGTTGTTTACCCATATTCTAAATGTAATGGTTTGCATCTACTAACCCCAAACTCCCAGTATCTTAATTAATATCATAATTTTAATATCAAATAAAAAATTATCACACTGGCCTCACACAACAAATTTTCCCAATATCCTTTATGGATGTGATTCTTAAAACTGTGTAAATCACAAGATTAATAGTAAATATAAACAGAAGAAATTATAGATATAGACAAAAGGTTGGAATATTCTAATAAACACCGTCATTTCCATGGGATATTAATCTAAGAAAACTGCCTTTTGAAGTCACACTGAACGCACTGACTTTCATCAGAAGCACATCAGTAGTTGCAAACGTTACAGTGTAAATCAAATCCTTGAAGAGTTTGAACCATGTGCCAAACCGGAAAGAGATGCGAAAGATTTTTTATTGTTTGGAAGCTCTAAGCCCAAAATGTCTTTTTCTTTGATGGTGTATTTGAATACTCTATCTTGATTCTTCATGGCACTTTAGAATTGCTTCACAAATAAAGAAAAGTCCGATATTTTGTGCTGGAGATGTTCTATAAAGCTCAAGAATACATAAAATTTTCTTTTGATTTTTACTAATTTATTAACATTTAATTGGAATTGATTTTTAAACATTGGTAACATTATTGCAAGTATGCATCTTTGCTACTGATGACGTATGTTCATATTATTACTTTAAAGAACTTATTGACTTATCTGATTTGCAAGACTGAAAAACTGTGTCATGGACTGTATAGTAAAGAAAATACTCTTTACATTCAAAGGTCCAAAGGGGCAAAGAAAAAGACAGAATGGAAATATGTGTGGTCTGACTTAGACATGGGCAATTTTTTTTTTCTGTAAAGGGCCAGATGGCAAATCGTTTAGACTTTGTGGGGCCATCAGACCTCTGTATTAGTTTCCTAGGGCTGCAGTAACAAAATATCACAAATTTGGTGGCTTGAATCAACAGGAATTTATCCTTTCAGTTCTGGAGGCAAGAAGTATGGAAGCGAGGTGCCGGCAGGGCCATGCTGCCTCTGAGGTCCTAGGGAGGCATCTATTCCCCGCGTCTCTGCCGGCTTCTGGTGGCTGCTGGCAACACTTGGCACCCTTAGCTCGTAGCTGCCTTCCTCCATCTCTGCCTTCAACGTCACATGGCCCATTTTCTTGTTTGTTTGTACGTCTCTGTATCCAAATCCCCATCTTCTGTCTCATAAAGAGACCAGTCATTGGATTTGAAGCCCACCCTAACTTACTATGACCTCGTCCTAACTCGATTACAACTACAAAGACCATATTTCCAGATAAGGTCACCTTCACAGATACCAGGGGTTAAGACTTCAACATATCTTTCTGGGAGCCGCAGTTCAATTCACTTCAGTCTCTGTTGCAACCGCTCAACTCTGTCTCTGCAACATGAACGCAGCCAAGGAGAATATACGTAAACAAATACATGCGCCTCGTTCCAGTAAAACTGTATTTACAAAAGCAGGTCATGGGTCAGACTGGGTCAGGGGGCTAGAGTTTACCAATGCCTGGCCTAACTAATTGAAACAAAACTGCCGCAGAGAAGAAAAAAAAAGAAACAATTTTTCCTGGCATTAGTCAGTTCATTTAAAAAAAAATATTTATTTGGCCACGCCGGGCCTTAGTTGAGGCACGCGGGATCTTCACTGTGGCGTGTGGGATCTAGTTCCCTGACCAAGGATCAAACCTGGGCCCCCTGCATTGGGAGCATGGAGTCTTAACCACTGCACCACCAGGGAAGTCCCAGTCAGTCCATTTTTAAAGTATAAAAAATGCCTACATATTTGTATATATGGCAACACTTATTTTTTGAAAGATGTCAACTTAGAGCAAGAAATGGAACCTTTATAATGATTTCAAATCCCAAAACTCTATTACTAAAAATGCTTGAATGACAATATTTTTCTGGTCAATGAGAAGCTTTTTGAGGATCATTTAGTTATGAGAGTCTATATAAACCTTTCCTCCAAAGAGATCAAGGCTATTTTGGAAACAAGATTTTCCTTTAACTCGGGCATATTTATTCACTCCAGTAGAAGGAATGTACCTGTTTCCCTCACTAAGCATATGTTCCCTGAGGGCAGGGACAGTGTTTGATTCAGTGGTGTGTTCTCAGCATATTAGTCATTCGATAAATATGTATCTAAAGTGACTTCTGTTTGTTGGAATAACAAGAGTAAATTCGTGTGTTGTTGTTTTAATCCTGTTGTACAAATATAGTCCCTGTCACCCACCGTACCTTGAAATTATTTAGTGTCTTAAACAGAAAGGAAAGCTACGTTAAGGGAAATCCAATTTCTATTAAAAGCTATTGAAAGAATTTGTGAAGAGAAAAATGGAGTAATGAATCAGAGGGGGTCAGTGAAAAATGTTAGTTTTTAAAATAGGATTCATCAAAAAGTAGAAAAAGGTAGGGAAGTCAAGATACATTTCAACAACCAAGCTAAAATATTAGCAGCTATTTTAACAGTGCAGCTCAGTTCAGTAGCAGAGACACATGGAACCCCGTGTGGGATACCCTCAATATGGGAGGGGTAGGATTCAGTTTGGTTGAAGAGACGGCCGGAGGAGCACCCAACTTTTCCAAGCATAGGTTCTGGGATTCTGGGCTCGGTCCAGCTTAGAGTTTCCCCACTCTCCTTATCGCTGGAAGGAAGGCAGAAGTTAGAAAGTGAAAGGTATTCGGAGTCGTAATTTTGCTCAGAAAGAATCAATACTTGTTGACAGCATAGGTGTAACCTGAGTTGTTGTGGGCAAATCAGAGTCAGCGAAGAGACTCTGAGCTGGAAGCACATTAGAAAGAGCAGTGTGGTGTGTTTCATGATGGCCAAGGATGAAGGCGG